GTGGAAATAGGGGTCTAACCAAAACCCTGTATTAAATATCCCGTCTTCTACTTCATCTTTGTCTCCTCAACTGCCCTGTAAATAGAACTAGTGGAAATAAGGGTCTAACCAAAACCCTGTATTAAATATCCCGTCTTCTACTTCATCTTTGTCTCCTCAACTGCCCTGTAAGTAGAACTAGTGGAAATAGGGGTCAAACTAAAACCCTGTATTTAATATCCCGTCTTCTACTTCATCTTTGTCTCCTCCACTGCCCTGTAAGTAGAACTAGTGGAAATAGGGGTCTAACTAAAACCCTGTATTTAATATCCTGTCTTCTACTTCATCTTTGTCTCCTCCACTGCCCTGTAAGTAGAACTAGTGGAAATAGGGGTCTAACTAAAACCCTGTATTTAATATCCCGTCTTCTACTTCATCTTTGTCTCCTCAACTGCCCTGTAAGTAGAACTAGTGGAAATAGGGGTCTAACCAAAACCCTGTATTTAATATCCCGTCTTCTACTTCATCTTTGTCTCCTCAACTGCCCTGTAAGTAGAACTAGTGGAAACAGGGGTCTAACTAAAACCCTGTATTAAATATCCCGTCTTCTACTTCATCTTTGTCTCCTCCACTGCCCTGTAAGTAGAACTAGTGGAAATAGGGGTCTAACTAAAACCCTGTATTAAATATCCCGTCTTCTACTTCATCTTTGTCTCCTCCACTGCCCTGTAAATAGAACTAGTGGAAACAGGGGTCTAACTAAAACCCTGTATTAAATATCCCGTCTTCTACTTCATCTTTGTCTCCTCCACTGCCCTGTAAATAGAACTAGTGGAAACAGGGGTCTAACTAAAACCCTGTATTAAATATCCCGTCTTCTACTTAATCTTTGTCTCCTCAACTGCCCTGTAAGTAGAACTAGTGGAAATAGGGGTCTAACTAAAACCCTGTATTAAATATCCCGTCTTCTACTTCATCTTTGTCTCCTCCACTGCCCTGTAAATAGAACTAGTGGAAACAGGGGTCTAACTAAAACCCTGTATTTAATATCCCGTCTTCTACTTCATCTTTGTCTCCTCAACTGCCCTGTAAGTAGAACTAGTGGAAACAGGGGTCTAACTAAAACCCTGTTTTAAATATCCCGTCTTCTACTTCATCTTTGTCTCCTCAACTGCCCTGTAAGTAGAACTAGTGGAAATAGGGGTCTAACTAAAACCCTGTATTAAATATCCCGTCTTCTACTTCATCTTTGTCTCCTCAACTGCCCTGTAAGTAGAACTAGTGGAAATAGGGGTCAAACTAAAACCCTGTATTTAATATCCCGTCTTCTACTTCATCTTTGTCTCCTCAACTGCCCTGTAAATAGAACTAGTGGAAATAGGGGTCTAACCAAAACCCTGTATTTAATATCCCGTCTTCTACTTCATCTTTGTCTCCTCAACTGCCCTGTAAGTAGAACTAGTGGAAATAGGGGTCTAACCAAAACCCTGTATTAAATATCCCGTCTTCTACTTCATCTTTGTCTCCTCAACTGCCCTGTAAGTAGAACTAGTGGAAATAGGGGTCTAACCAAAACCCTGTATTAAATATCCCGTCTTCTACTTCATCTTTGTCTCCTCAACTGCCCTGTAAGTAGAACTAGTGGAAATAGGGGTCTAACCAAAACCCTGTATTAAATATCCCGTCTTCTACTTTGTCTTTGTCTCCACAGCTGCTGTATCTCTAGACATTGTCCCTGTGCACCTGAAGCATTCGCAGTAATAATAACACTAGTATAACACTTTGGGAGACAGACACATAAACTTGAGACGTTTCAAAATAAATGTTTGAGGAGAATTCTACGAATATTTTGGCTAAACAAGATCTCAAATGAAGAACTGAGGAGGAAAACAGAATGTGCCTCACTGGCAAATGTTATCAAAATTAGACGATGGAGATGGCTTGGACATGTTTTGCAGAATGCCTTGTGACACTCTGGCAAAAACAGCTTTCCGGTGGACAGCAGATGGGAAAAGAAGACGTGGACAACCTAAGGAAACCTAGAGAAGGACAATAGAACGGGAAATTAAGGAATGTTAACTGTCATGGGATACCATGGGCAGAAACGCAGCAGACCGGCGGCAGTGGAGATCACTTGTGAATGACTTATGTGTCAACAGCGACATGAAGAGGATATAGATATATAGATTTCTGTGCCATGAGGTGTATTGGTTTTATGATTCATATTTTTATAGATAGTTATCTGATACCACTGTTGCTTCATTTTTTAATTTGCATCATTCACTTCCATGTTAGTTCAAAAACCAACCCTGCCTTTACTGAGTCTTCAAGACATGACCACTAAGCCAGCAGGCAAGCTAGCTGGCCACTTTGTTATTTTAGTGACACTACGGCTATGAGATAAGAAAAAATACCATTCACTGTACATCAGTTTGAGGAGTGATACACCAATTTTAAAAAAAGCTGTCTAAAAATCATGTTTTTATTTAGCATTGCTGTTTACGCAGATAACATGGAGCAGACCAAAACTGAACCAAATACCACAGGCACTCCCTTTGTTGATGTGACAACTCTACCATGTCAGTGGATTTTATATGCAACTGTTGGTAATTCTAGGTATGTCATGTTTTTGTTGTTCAGATTTGAATAGTTTTTATATGTTCCTTATCCTTTTATGTTGACTAATATTTTAGTGCACTAGCCGTGTACTCTTTGTTTTCTGGCTTTCGAACATTTGGCATAAAATTGTATTTTTTTTCAATTAATGACAGAATTTAGTCAACTTTTCAGAACATTTAAATCTATAATGAGGATGGCAGGCACACATGCAAAAGACACATTTTTCAGAATTTGAATATCATATTTGTTTTGTTTGTCATCTTTTTCTGTATGAGTACTTACTTTTTTAATCCTAATTTTTCTAAAATGTAAAAGGAGTGCATGAGGATGCTTTGAAATGTTTAAATTGAGCAAAATGTTTTGTCAGAACTGAGTTAATTTTGGTTTGTGTAGAATCCATCTGTTTCATGGTCTTTCTCTAGCTCTGTAGCTACAGATTATAGCAAAAAGTTGGCTTCATTCTCATAGGATGTCTGAATTACTTTATATGTTGTCTTTGTACATTTTCACTACATGATTGTTGTGATATTTAAAAATAAATTTCAGTTATAATGGTAAAAGAAAAGTAATAGATTTGTTTCATGCCTTCAGTTGCTAGCCCCATATTTTTTATAAACTAAAAAAGACTTGTTGGGCCATGCAGTCATCCTGCCAGTCACTTTACTTTTTACTACATTTTCCAGTGCAGATTTTTGGTTATGCTGACCTGGAGCCCATGTCAGATTTTAAAAATTGTCCACCATGTAGATTCTAACCAATGACCATCAGACTGGCAAGCAACTTTTCTGCTACTTTGCTTACCTCTGCTTCTACATCTGATGTAATAATTTATAATTTGGACATCTGGTGAAGCCTGTAACATTTCTCAGAAATGTATTCTTGCATGGGATGAATTTTCTCTCTTGTGTTGTCGACTTTTTATGTTTGACATTGGTAGTAATATGTAAAAATGTACTATTTATTACTTGTCATGGCTTAAACATCTGTTACATCTCATTTATTACTTGTCATGGCTTATGCATCTGTCATATCTCATTTTTTACTTGTCATGGCTTATGCATCTGTCATATCTCATTTATGACGTGTCATGGCTTATGCATTTGTCATATCTCATTTATTACTTGTCATGGCTTATGCATTTGTCATATCTCATTTATTACTTGTCAAGGCTTATGCATGTGTCATATCTCATTTATTACTTGTCATGGCTTATGCATTTTTCATATCTCACTTATTACTTGTCATGGCTTATGCATCGGTCATATCTCATTAATTATTTGTCATAGCTTATGCATCTGTCATATCTCATTTTGTTGTCTCTGCCAGTCATTAAATATTGCATCTTCTATAAAAATGCTTCCAGATACTTAACTCTAAAACCTGTGTGTGTTCATAAAGTTTCCTTGGTGATCTACCTGTCTTCTTTTGGTCTTAGATGGGCTAATCTTTACGTTTAAATAGTTATAATACAGTGGAACTTAATACCTACCTAAAGTTGTTCAGCAGTCAAACTTTGAAAACCAAAACCATTTTCTCTATCAAAATGAGTGTATAATATATTAAATTTGTTTCTCAACTTCAGATGGTTGCATGTTTATAGTAATACTGTATTCCTAAAACCATACCAAAAGAACAATGAAAATGTGTGCAGTCTTATTCCTAAAAGAAGGAACATGTGAGCAGATATATTTTCAACAAAAAAGAATGAAAACATAAGAAGATAAATTATCGTAGCAAGTAACATTGTATCCTCTTTACCTGTACGAATGAGAGTTAATGCCCACTGTTTTTCTCCTCTTGCAACAATTCCAATTCTAGCATAGTGAACAGTGATTTGATCCCAACTTCCCATTTCAGCAATGTCCTCTGATGAATATTTACACTGACAAAATTCAGAACTCCACTTTCAAGTATACCAAATTCATCTAGACAGTTTAGGTGCTCCAGCAGAGTAAAACACATGACTAAAAAACTATCACAAGTGCTCCAACAGAATAAAACATATGACTAAAAACTATCACAAGACATGGAAATGCATCAGAACTCTTTCATTAACTGAAGGCTACTGAATTAGACTACCACGGGATATGTCTACCTGCTGTCAATTTTACGTGCATCTGGCCATTGCCGTGGAATCTTTAGATTTCACACAACACATGTTCCACACTCTTTCAGTGGCCCAGCCAAATATTTACACTCACTTTGGTCACTCGTATCATGAATTTTAATGTACGCTTTCACACCTATCTGACCTCTGGCATAAATGCATTCTAATAGCCCAGTTAGCACACAACAGGTACCACTGTATATATTTTCCATATCGGTCACAGTAATACATTACTTGCTTTCAATTCCAGTTAACAAAACAACAAAAAATCTTAATTTCCTGTCTTTGATTTCAGAATTCGAGTTTGGGATGTCAGCATTTTAATTCCAAATGCACTGTTTATGCTGTTTCTGTTGATTTATTTGCGGGATGCTATATTGAAGTTGCGAGCATCCAGCACACCAGTCTTCACAGTGTTTTATGGATTGGTGAGATTTTCTTCTCCTTACATCTTTGTAGTTTATAATATTGCAGTTGACTATATTCAAACAAATCAGTTGATTTGGTAATGTAATAGGTTATTAAAATATAGTCAGCTTAGAAGGAATGATTATAATTTATTGTGGTTTTAGTTGTTCATTTAATTGTTTAATTACCAGTATTGAAATTGCTGTTTATGCTTTCTGCATACATCTTTCTCTGCCTCTCTTAGCTAAAATTTCCCCCAAAATGCTAGATTCACCTCTCCTGTCAACATCATCATCAAGTGTCTTACCGACTGGCGGGGGTGATCTTGCATCTTCACAGCCTGAGATCTCCAACAGCATGTATCAGTAAGTTCAAGTGTTGACACCCCGCCATGACAAGAAGCTGCCAAGGGTAGGTTTTGGAAACTTCACAGACAGTTGCAAAAGAAGGACCGGCAACAGGATATATACATGATAATAGTATGCCAGTGACAAAGGAGAAAGGGGAAGCATTTTTGGAGAGATTTATAGCCCAGACTGATCATAATGATAGGGAACTTAGAAATTCAGTTAGAGGTAATCTTACTAATACTATATATGATAGTTATTTTCATGATATCGTTAGGGTGGAGGATGTAAAATATATATTGCAATAAGCAAAACACACTGTGCCGGGGTCCAGGTATGCCCACATTAAGAGCATGAGTGATAAAAATTTTAGGTAGACAGCTTTTCACTTCAACCAGAGCATCAGAACAATGATTAGGTACACTGCTACCTAATCCCACTTCTAGGATTGTTACCCTACAAAACACTTTTGGCAAGATGCTAGAGAAGGTCATTGCTGTTTAACTACAAATGATTTTGGAAAGGAAAAAGGTCCTGGCAAAAGGTTTGGGTAATTACCGGCCAAATGCAGCTACTTTTGCTTTTGATGTTTACGAGGGGTTTCAGAATAGACAGGAGACGGTAGCGGCAGCACTTGATATTGAGGATGCCTACAACAGAGTCAGGTATGATATTGTGATATTTATGCAGAAATTGGTTTGTCCATGGCTGGTGAACTAAATAGCAGCTGTCATGCATTCACATATTTTTGCCTTTCGCCTGGGTACATGGACCTCAGAAGCATGTAATATCGCTCTGGGACTACCTAGGGTTCTGTAATTTCACCAGGGCTCTTCAAAGTTTATTCAGGCAAGATTGCAGAACTTGAAGCACTTTGTGTTGGAAGGATATTGACATATTCATATAATGTTCTTGCTTATAGGCAGGGAAGCGATAGGAAACAGACATTCCAAGAGCTGCAGGCAAATGTAGATAAAGTGATTGACTGGTATGCAGAGATGGGAGCTGTCATCAACTCAGAAAAGGCGGCTGTTTTATGGTGCTCTCTGGGTAATAGAATTGTAAAAGCTAATGTTCCAAGTTTCACGGTTAATGACAGAAACATTAAAAGAGAAAGCAAACTGAGGTACCTGGGTATCAGTTTTGACAGAAGCCTAGGAAAGTCTGACCTGAAGCTGGCTGCTACAGAATCAGAATTTCAACTAATGATTAATGACAATTCTCGTCCAAGTAATGGGATTATCTTTACAGATGGCTCTTTGTTGAGAGGCATATGAAGTTCATGGGGGTTCATAGCAAAAGCAAATGGATGTGGCTGAGTGCAGCAAAACCTATCATATGATGTCACAACATCTAGTTTGAAAATGGAGGTGGGGCAGTCATTGCTCCCTTTTGCTGCCTTGAGAATCAGCTCTACACACATGACGTGATTGTAACTGACTCACAGAACATGTTGAGAAAGGTGGAGATAGGCATGCTTCGTGCAGATTGGCAAGCATGGCTTCAGAGATCCTGGATAGTTAGCGACCTTTAGATAAATTCTCCAGTTTATGAGGGTGTTGGGAAATGAGCAGGCAGATAGACTGACCTGTTCTGCACCACTTGGTGGGGGAATTGATCTATGACGAGCTAGATGTTATTTTGCGAGGGCCCTTTGAGAGCAAGTGAACAGTGGGAAGGCACAAGTAGATCATTACGGTTTGAAGAAAATGGCGCTGTGAGGAGTTACTAGGGGATCCTGGCTGACACTCAACACTCAATAAAAGGTGAGACGGATATACAATCAGACAGTTACTGGTACCATAGGAATTGGAACTCTTCGCTTGCAGCTGAAGATGAGGACTGAGTGCTTATGGGAGTATTCCGAAAGCTGTGATGTCGATTCATAATTCAGCATTCACCTGTATTACCAAGGCCCTCACGGGAAGCAAAGAATATTAACACTACACCCTACCAGGCATGTCGTGAGGCTAGAGTTGGGCGGGGTTGGCTGCCTCATCCTGTAAAAACAATAGCCATAAAAACCAACCAACCATGGAAAAGTCAAAAAAGAGAAACAAGAAATACCCAACCAGCCAAGATGATGGGAGACTCTTTTAATAGAAGATTTATGACAAGGTGAGGAGAAAGCCAAGAGGAGTCTGAATCATCGACGTGCCTTCTTTTACCTAGGAAAATCACCAGAATTGTCATGTGAATTGTACACCTTGTACACTGTGGAAGGACATGAAAGGCATTAAGATAAATGAAACATTATAGGATTGCTACTTTAGGATTATGTTAAACCAGGTAGACAGGGGTGGGGAAAAGTACTCTAAATTCAGGCAAACTATTTTGTTCTTGGGTCTTACAGAGGATAAATCTCCCCACAGAGAAGGAGTAGAAAGAATTTACATTGGATTAGCATTGAATAAGTTTTATTTGTTTGGGCGGGAATTTAAAGTATAAAACTTAGTCAAATATAGGTTACCAAAACACACATGTCAGCACTAACTGTATTGTGTTTTCTTCTTAGGTACTCTGTGTATCAGTCACCAGTATCTTGAGGTGCATTGTTTCTATGACAGTAAATTCAGCAATAAATTCAGTCGGGGATTATACAGACAAGGTATTATATTGATACATTTCTTCTTATCTCCACCTTACACAGTGTGGAGACTAAATTTGCTATGTTCCATGCTATCATTACATATTAATATATCAGCATATGTGCACTAAAATATAAATATATATATATTAGCTGATTAAAATGTCATGTGCTTCTATTAAATTTGTTTGTTTTATTTTATCAGTCGACTCATTAACAGCTGCCTTCACAATGTGCTGTAAAAGTAATGGTTTTTTTTTCAAATTGAATCTTAACTAACTAAGCAGGTTTCGGAAAGGGTAGAGGAATTAGGGATCACATCTTTCATATGAGAATAATTGTTTTTTTTAATGTAGAGAATACAACCTAGACCTTCATGCTTGTTTCATTGATTACAACAAGGCATTTGATTGTGTCCAACATCAGAAATTGTGGAGTATTTTGAAAAGTATGAGGTTTGAAGCGCGTTTAGTGCATTTAATTGAAAAACTTAAATCTTGACCAACAAGTAGTCATCAGATCCGCTGGAAACATCAGATTGGTTAGAGTTGCAAGCAAAAGGGAATGAGGCAGGGATGCATTCTCTTACCATACCTATTCAGTTTACATGCAGGAAACATAATGAGAAAAGTCAAAAATGACCAGACTTGTGACAGTTATGAACCACTCGGATGTGAGTTGTAGAATATCTCTTAGTCCTTAAAAAATAAAAAAAGGGCTTTTGAGCTGAAAAGCTATAGAAATATTCTCAGAATATCATGGTATTGAATAAAAAGGAGAAGAGAAGAAATACTGGCATTTTAAAAGATCTTAACCTCAAGGAACAGCATCTTGACTTGGAAGCTGAAATATTTTGGTCATATCAAGCGTTATGGTGGATTGGAAAAAATAAAAGCAAAAGGCATGGTACCAGAAATGAGGGGCTGGGGCCGACCAACATACAGATGGGCACATGATATAAGAAGGCATGGTACTAGGAAAGAGGGGCAGGGGCGGACGAACATGAAGATGGGCACCGGATATGGCTTCTTGAATATGAAAGAACACAAGGCTGGAGAACTGGTGAGAGACAGAGTTTCTTTCTTGCAGACAGCGGCAGTGAGAGTGACATTCTGCAAAGAACCTTCTACATGATGATGATGAAACTAACTGGTATCAAGTAAAGTTCAGCCTGTTCAGCATATTCTGTCATATTTCTGCCTTAAATTTGGGAGGTTTTAAAATTACTGCATGTTTTTGTTTCCGGCTACAAAGACCTGGTACCTACAAGGCCATGAAGGTTGCCTTATGAAGCATCAAGATTAATGGACAAGGTCTGTGGATTGTGAACATTAAGGTCCTTCTCAAACTGCTGATTGATGCTGAAATACTGTGTGTTGTGATGACTTTTGACATGAGTACACAGATGTCCAAGGTACCAGATAACTGGTTACATAGCTATTTAAAACTATTGCCAGTTTACCTGGCAGGGATCCTCAACAACTAAATGGTTATAGAATCATCACCCTGGAGCATGTGATGGAATGAAATAGTGACTGCTTGTTATAGTGTTTAAACACCTGGTCACTCAGTAATTTATTCTGGGTGTTTTTGAATGATCTTGCTTTGTACATGTGATGCCCCATCAGAACAAGATAAATAGTGAACCCTCATTAACCTGAGTTCACTTCAAAAGAAAACTCAGCTAACACAAACACATTTTTGTTCCTGGCAGCAATATAAAATCTCTTGCCACAAATACACTATTATATATTTTTTCATTTAGGCTCTTTGGTTAGTTCTGCGATTTTTCCTGCTAGCAACTGAGTTGTCTGTGGTCATATTTGGAGTGGCCTTTGGTAAGTTGGATTCTTGGTTTATAATTTAAGTATTATTCTTTCTTCTTCTTCTTCTTCACGTTCACCAGCTGTAAACTCTGGCGGAAGGTTCTGGTTGCTCGTCCACTACCGAACTGCAGTCCTGCTCCAGAACCTGAGTGTTGCGTGTGCATCAGTTTTACAGATCTCATTCTCTTGAATACAGACTGTTGGTTCCTTGCCTCTCCGGCAGATGCACTCCGACTTCAAAGGAAGCTTCCCAATTAGTCGACTCTTACGACATGCTTCTGGGGAGGCAGTGGGTCTATTCTTGTTTTCCCCACAATGGGGCCCCGGAACCCACACGGGGGGTTAAGTATTATGAGTCACATGTTACCCACCTGTTCTAACATGTTATAGGGTACAGATGGAGTAATGATATGCAATACAAGACCCTTTTCTTCCCAGCAATCCAGTTGAAGGTTAGGGTCTCAACCCCCAGCGGGAAACTGGATGGGACAACAAACGAGGTAAAGGCGAAGGGATGAGCCCACTCTCCCTCTCAAGAGATCCTGAAGTCAGAAATACTAGACCAGAAAGTAGATCAAACACCACAGTACTTACACAACCCAACGCTATATATATGATAACACTGTCAGATGAATTTAATGTTGGTACTTGACCTGTGGAGTCTCACCAGGCAGGTGCAGTGCTGGGTTCTGAGCCTCGACAGAATCCACCCCCAGCTACTGGCCGACCTCCTAGATCATTTTGTGGAGTCAGTAGACGGCAGAGGATAGCTACTGACCAAACCAAATCAGACAGAAAAGATCCAAAATTGCCTTTTGTCATAATGCACTGGAATGCAGAGGGGGTCAGCAGTAAGCAGGCTGGCTACAGCAAAAAGATGGAGCTGGAAAACATCCTCTATGAAAAGCATGTCAGTGTGTGCTGCATCCAAGAGACCCATTTTCAAGCAGATCAAATCTTCAAAGCAAGAGGCTACCCGTGCTTCAGATCGGATAGATAAGGCAGGCGGAAAGGAGAAGTACTTATCCTTGTGAAGAACAGTATCCATTCACGTGAGAAGACTACTTGTGTGGATGGAGCTGAGTACCAACTCCTGCAACTTAAAACAGACAAAATGGAACTAGACCTGCTAAACTACTACTGCCCCAGTGACAAAATGTTAAGTCTCAGCTTGGTACCAGTATCAGATACCAACTTTATTGCAGTTGGAGACTTCAACAGTCATTCACAAAGCTGGGGCTATAACCATCTCGACAATAGGGGTGAAGAGGTGGGAACATGGCAAGATGACCACTCTCTGATCCTGGTCAATGACCCCTCAGATACTCCTACCTTCTACTCCAGAAGGTGACAGACAATGTCAACCCCAGATCGTGCCTTCTCTACCCCAGATATATTTAGAATCATAAGTAGGGAGGTAGGAGACCAACTGGGGGGAGAGGGGGTGGGCAGTGACCATTACCTTATTTTTCTTACTGTCCAGAATGTATCAGTTAATACAGGCCCAATGATCACAAGATAAAACTACAAAAAAGTCAACTGGGGCCTATACAGAAACAGGACAAGTACATTGTTGTCTGCTCTCAAGGTACAAAATAGGGACATCAATGATATAATGCGAGATTTCAATAGAAATATTCTTCAAGCTGCAAAAGAAGCAGTTCCCAAAGGTTATCGACACAACTACAGACCTTAATAATCCAGCACACTCCAGGAATGTCAGGAAACAATGATCAGGCTAGAAAGGATGATGAATCCTAACCTTCACCTGACAGCCACACCAATTGAAAAAAGGATGTAGCAGTGTTCCAGAGAACTAAACTTGAAGAAAAATGGAAAAGCTGGAGAGAAAAAAAGCAACAGTTCTTAACCTTGAGAAAGATGGCAAGAAACTCACTAAATAAAGAGAGCTTCTCTCCTAGACAAACAATCACACTCAGTGAAGGTGACATAAACTTGAGAGGAAATCAAGCTGCAAATTTATTTGCCAGAACATTTAGTGTCGAAAGCAACCCGATCCTTAATAAGGACCACCAGAGAGAAATAAGGAAAGAAATACAAACAAATAAGAGACAGGTAGATACTGCCTCTAAGATGGAGCCCTTCACCATAGGTGAACTTCAGAATACTATTTCCAGGTTCATGTTAAAAAAGTCTACAGGCCCAGATGAAATCAGCAATGAATTGCTGACCAACCTGAGCTTATCTGCTAAAATGAAGCTGCTGGAAATTTTCAACATCAGCTGGAAGAAAGGCTTGGTGCCTCAAGTGTGGAGAGAAACCATCACAATATCCATACTAAAAAAAAAAAAGTAAAAATAAAGATCCAGGCTTCGAGCTATCGACCAATTAGTCTCAAGCTGTGTAGGAAAGACACTGGAGAGAATTATAATTTTAAGACTGAAATGGCACTTAAAATCTGAGCAGATCTTGGTGCAAGAGCAGGCTGGGTTTAGGGAATGTCACAGCATAGAAGACCAAGTCACCTACCTGTCACAAGCTGTAGAAGATGCCTTCCAAGAGAAGAAAAAGGTCCTCCTATTGTGGGTTGACTTCAGACAAGCCTTTGACAAAGTCTGGAAAGATGGTCTCATTGCAAAACTAAAGAGAAATGGAATCCAAGGAAGCATGCTAAGATGGATTCAATCCTTTTTTACACAGCAGGAGAACTAGAGTCACTCTTGACGGCCTGCAGAGCAGAAAAGTGTTGCTTCATCAAGGAATACCATAGGGAGGAGTTATCTCTACAACTCTCTTTCTCGTTTATATCAGTGACCTGGTGAAAGACCTCCCTACAGGAGTGAAGGCTGCCCTGTGTGCAGATTATTTGGCACTCTGGTGTACTGATGAACACACCGCAGTGGCAAATCTAAGAATGCAGCAAGCAACAGACCGCTTAATGACATGGGCAGAAAAATGGCACAGAAAGAATATCCACAAGACTGGTATACCAGAAAACTAAACCGCAGATAAACTTTGCTAAGAAAGGTGCAGAATGTGAACAGGAAGAGAATGCAGTAACCTATTATGAGAAGAAAAGGGCCGTCTAGTTTATCAGAAGTAGACGAGCTCACCTTAGCTTGACTACCTGTCATCCGTTTAACTGTAATGCCTAGTCACACAAAGCAGATATTAAGAAAAGAAGAAGACAGAATAAGATTGGTTACCAGTAGGTGAGGCTGAGTCGGTATCTGTCCCCATCACTTGGTATTTATGTTTGTGTTACATATTCCTGATAGAAAAACAATGACATTACTTACAAATTGTAGGCCACCTTGACAGCCGCACAAGCATACAGAGAATATTGATTGTGACTTTTAGCACAGCATTGACATATTCTGTTGTTCAGGTAAGATTTTTCGGTCTCTCTTGTCCTGTTTTTGTTAAATGTTATTGTTTGTTTTGTGCACTTGACTCATTGTTGGTTGTCTGTTAGCCAGAAATATGTATATTAAAGTGGATTAGTCTCAGTACATTCTGAATATGACCTACACTCATCTAGAAATAAATCCCCTGTCAGATCACTTCTCTGAATTTCTCATGCTTTAAAGCTTTCCTGTGTGGTTTCTGGGGCTTGTATGGGGAGAAAAAAGAATACAGCAACTGCCCCTTACCCAAAAAAAGGTGGCTAATTAACTCGTTGAGTCCCAGGTTAGTTGGTGTCTGTGGCTTAGGCATTGCAAACACACTTTGAGCAAGGCAGGGCACGTAAGACGCCTTGGTCATCCATTGTTCCTAGGTCCATTTCCAAGTATCTAGAAGCAATGTATGTTATCCAAATGTCATTCATGAAGCAAAGCATGTTATGTTATTCAAATACAAACCATTTGCCAATAGTTTGACTAAATTGCAAAACCATGTGGTCAGCAGATGACAAATAACCCACCCTCTTGTTCAGCTAGTGGAAGTTGCTTTGTTACGTTTGCAGCACGGAGGAAAGAGAAAACATTAAACTCTGTTTTGAACTTAGAAAAATGCTCTTGAGACAGATACAATGATGAGAACGATTTATGGGATCAGTATTTATCTTATGCACATATATTTAAGTAGTATTCATGATTAAAAAACTTATGCAAAGAAGATTGAAAATGAATCTAGCCTGGTACGTCCAGTTTCTATTTGTAATGAGGAACTCATTGGCGGAGTCAGAGAGCGCATACTCAAAGCCCAATATCTTACTGAGGATGATGGCAGATAAATATGATGATGAATTTAATAAATATTGGTCTTCATAAACTTGTAATCATCAAATTAACAGTCTCAGGAGCACTTTTCCATGAGAAATTATGAATTCTCTTGTAATGTCCAAGTTGGGAATAGAAATTAACAGAAACATATGTTATCTGCAGCATTTGTTTCATTGCTTCTCTTGCAGGGTGCATTGGAGTTTGAGTATTGCCACCCTCAGTTCTCTAAATTAGTGGACTGTAATTCCAACAACAGTGCCACAGAAAACTACGATTTATTTGCTCATGGAGGAATGCTATTTTTGTTCTCAACTTCAGTTTTCTTTTTCTTGGTGAGTAATCATATTTATTTTGAAATTTTTTTGCAAATACATGCCATAACTATTTTTAGGTATGATGTTGTATACAGGTTTGGAAGTTCAAGGTCTGGTGTTTCTAATTCATATTGATTCCAAAGCTTCTCTGGTCGCTGCTAGCATACAAAGTTGGCATGAGCACAGTAGATTCAATAAAGCAGAAAATCAGCACTGCCATGAGGAAATGGCTCAGAGGACGCCTTGTCTAACTGACGTGGCCCTGTATTGTAAGCATGCAAAACTAGTACTTCCTTTCAAATCGATATCCAAAGAGTTTAAAGTCGGCAAATCCAGACTGGCAATCATGTTGCATGAGTCTGCAGACCCTATAGTAGCCGCTATCTAGCCTGCTCTAAAGACGGAGAAGAAGAAGATCGTGGATGGTGTGATAGAATCTGCTCAAACTGCACTAACATTGAAAGAAGTCATGGCTTACACACAAACCGACATAGTTGCAGCAAGGCATGTGGATTGATCTTGAGTGTGCCTTGCCACAAGTACTCACATGGGGTAAGATCTGGCAAGTGGCTGCACTGTAACTGGGCTTTCTCGTTCGATGTGCTTACGATGTGTTACCCTCAGGCACTAACATGGTCAGATGGCGTATATTTGACCTTAATCCTAGCGCTAGGCAAGTTTAAGTGTTGAGCATCCAAAGTAGCACACTGATGCTCAACAAATTCACCTTTATAATGATCCGGTTTCATGATATCAGGGGTACAAACTGCTAAATAGCTAAGCCCTGAATCATAGAGACACAAAAGGCGAACGAAAGAAGAATAAGAATAGAGACACAAAGCGGTTCTTCCGTTTGTCCAGACCCTCTCTACCACGGGTGGCCTATTGGAACAATTATAGAGAGTTTACGCAGTAGACAGCTCAACAGCAGACATGTGTGCTCCCACTGATTGTTTCCCCTTACAATCATTTGTGTGATGGGTATTGTTTCTACAATTTTTACAGAAGTGCTTCTTAGAACCATTAAAAGGTTGTCTCTGTTGAGCAAGGGATACATTCTTTTGGGGGGATTCATGGGGATGGGGTTTATGTTTACATTTCAGGCAGGGCGTCACACATGTACTAAACTAGCATGACCCAAGCTGATACAGATCAGTACGGTCTGAGCTGATCTGTTTGTTTCAGATACTCCCCTATTTAACGGTTAAATGTGAACAATTATATTTTAAAATGAATACATAATGTCCAAGCAGTCTGGAACCCGTTGAAGGAGTACAAGGAGAGCATTTTCCTTGGCTTATAGGGGAATGCTCTGGTTATGCGCCCTCCTGCAGTTTGAATGGTTTGACAGCCAGGTCCTGTTGCTTCAGTAGCTAACCTCTGTCCTACACTCAGCAGCAGGGCCGAATGTATGGTAATTTAATTTATAATGTACTTACCCATGCTCATGGACGTTCCCGGGCGAATCAGAGATTTAAATGGAGGTGAGCAAATAGACAGAATAAGCAGCAAGCCGTCTGTTCACCTGAAAGCTCAGTCAAGAATGAGTTCAAACTAAGCGTCTCTCCCGATAGAGCTGGGAGGGGATTTATCCACCTCCAAATCTGTAGTTAGGCCAATGGAATTTGGCTTCACTATCAATGAATCTGTATAAGGCGGAAACATGGAGAACAACTAAGGCAGTTACTAATAAACTACTGACATTCAATAACTGGTGCCTGTGCTGAATAGATGGAATTAAATGGTATGATAGAATCACTGATTAAAAGCTTTGAGAGAGAACTAAGCAAGCTTCAGTGGACTAAGAGGTGGATAGGACACAAATTGAGAAAACCGGAGAACAACATAACTAAACTGTCTTTGCGTTAGAACCCACAGGGGCATAGGAATAAAGGAAGGCCAAAAAACACATGGAGAAGGAAGCTGGAGAATGAAGTTAGAAAGATATTTAGGACATGGGGAGAGCTGCATGCGATAGCAGAGGATAGAATGACTTGGTGTGAGTTGGTTGAGGGCCTATTCTCCATTGGGAGCTAGAAAGGCAGAAGAAGATCAATGAATCTCTCGCCTAAATGGCTGAATGTAAAAAAAATGTGATTTCCAAGAGCACTATCAATGAATCTCACGCCTATATGGCTGAATGTAAATATATGTCATTCCCAAGAGAATTGGGATGGAATTGATTACTTAACCCAACATCTTGACACATAAGTACAAAAGAAGGACTATTTACCTATGGAGGAAAGTCCAAGATTTGAAAGTGCCTCATTGCCATAGAGATTAGAAGAAATGGGCAGGTCCATGACCAGAGGACTGTGTCTTTCCTGTGACAACAAGACTGATTTAGTGGGGGGGGGGGGGGGGGGAGAGATCGCCAGAACCGCTGGGAAAGAATTTAATCTGTTATAAATATAGAGAGATGTATTCTGAAAATAAAATAAAACTAAGCAGAGAACTGAGATGATGATGATGGATGTACTCATAGTTGAGATTTCTGTTTTTTAATCTAGAAGATTATGTTTTTGTACAAAATGTCCTTTGGAGGGTGTTAATCACAAGTAGCACTATCTTTCAGAGTTTATTGATTCTTTACATTTTAACAAGATAGCCTTTGTTTCTTTTCCAGATCTATAGCATAATTGTGGTACTGCCTTTTACGAGGTTGAGAGATCGATATTTACTTCCAAGTAAGTTATTGCATTGATACTTTGTCCAAGGCAGTGGTTGCTTCACCTCATTGTGCAATATGCAAGTAACAACATTTCCTGTAAAGTAAAGCCAGTAGCATGATATTGATTGTTACATAAGTCATCAAGTGCAAATTGATCTAAAAATGTATGAATCAAATATTATTAACCTTCTCACAATGAGGATGATAAAGAGAGACATGACTGTCTATAATTGGTCATCTGGTGGTCACCGTGTTGCTAGGGCTGTGTGTCATCCCACTTCCCTGGCTTCGGGGAACATCATCTTGTCTCAGAAGCTGAAATATTTTGGTCATATGAAGTGCCACGGCAGATTGGGAAAAAAATAATAGTAGAAGTCATGGTAACAAGAAGAAGAGGCAGGGGCCAACCAGCACAAAGATGGGCACAGGATATAAGTGACTGCTTGGATATGATTCTGTGAGAGGCAGGAGAGCTGGCATGAAACCAGGTTTCTTTCAGGCAGACCATGATCAGAGCAGTGTTCTGCAATGGACCTGCTACATGATAATGATGATTCACCAGTTGAAAAAAAACATAAATATATTTTTATTGGAAGCCCCCTTGAACAACTTTGCCCATAGCAAGATTACTTTGAACATAGTTAGTTTGAGAATGGAGGTGGTGGCAGTCACAGCAACCTATCGCTGAATTGAGAACCAGCTGAACATAACATGTCATGATTGTACTTGACTTACAAAGTATGTTCCAAAAGGTGGAGACAGCTTGCTCTGTGCCGAGGGGTAAGCATCGCTGCAGAGGCCCCACGTAGTTAGCATCTTTGGGATATTTTCTTCAGGGCCCACAGGTATGTTGGGAAACAAACAGGCACGTAGTCTGCACCACTTGGAGTAGATTTCAGCATGACAAGCTAGATGTAAGGACCCTTTGGGAACGAGTGAACAGTGAAAAGGAATAAATAGATCATCACAGTGTGAAGAGAATGGTGCAGAGAGGAGGGACCAGGGTAACGTGGCCGATGCTCAACTCTCAAGGAAGGGAAATGCGTGACAGATATACAGTTACTGGTGCCATCAGAATTGGAACTCTTCACTAGCTGCTAAAGATGGGGGTAGAGTGCTTATGGAAATGTCCTGAGTGCTGAGAATATGATGTCAGTATTTAACTCACATTAAATCTCTGTGTTTCAGCTAAGCGCCTGTTCTACTATTACTGCATATGTTTGGCTAGTCTCAACTTATGCCAGGCAGTTGGAAGTATGCTTCTTTACAATGGTGTCATACCCAGCCTTTGGTAAGATAGATAAGAATTAACATAACATTACTGTAATTGTGTCATGTTTAGAATAAAATTATTTGCAGCTGATTTCAACATTTCGTTACAAGACACATTGTTTAATTATTTTGCTGACTTGGTTTTTGTATATAATAAAGATTCCTAGTGGGCTTAAACAGAATTGTGATTTCCTTTATTATTACTTCAAGGCAGATTACCAGCTACTTCTGTGTATGCTTTATTTGTAATGACATTAGCTCTTTCTGTTTACTGAGACAATATGCATTTTATTTCATCATATTTGGGCAGTTGATAAGAGGCTCGCTTTCAAATCCAGCTGCAACTCGCTGCAGCCCACGTCAGTGTTTGAAACTGGGAGGTTCCCGGGGTTCACCCAGCCTCTAGGAAATGAGTACCAGTGTTGACACTATGGGGTAAATGGAGGAACATCACTGTAGCTACAGAGTTAGGTGTGAACAGCGACACAGGCGGACAATTCTTATCAGCTGTCTGTACTGGTGGCAGAGCACTTATGGTTTATAACAGTGTGCAATGACGCTAGTTCACATCTCCCGACTTTACCTTTAATTTTTTTATATAAATATGGGTAGCATTTGAACATAGATTTCTTATTGTTGACCATGATGTCATTAAAGAAGTTGATTAAAATTGTTTCAGCAGGTTAAGAGGAAGTTGGGGATGACAGTTTATTAGAAAAGAGTACCAAAAAGACAAAGAAATTAATACATGATTTCCTTGGTCAGATTTCATAGTAAGGACAAGAACCTAAAACAGATCCAAAACTTTAGTGATTGTGTGAGTTGGCTAATTATTAAAACTCATGCTCATTTGCATGGCACATGATGGTTTTTTTTTTTAATTCAGCACATGTGCAGGCTTGCAATCTTTGCAAAATGCAACATATTTTTAGATTTATGGAGATAAAAGAACAGATTTGACAGCTTCTTTTAGGAATGGAAAACAAACTGTAAGCTTGCTTATGTTTTTTGCCTGTGTTATTTGTATCTTATATAATTCTGATTGGTTCTGTACAATTTAATTAAGGTAAAAGTAACACTTATTGGTACAATTTAAGCATAAATATGGTAATACCTAAGTAGTGGGAGAGTTCTTTTTAGCTGTAAACAGATTATTACACTCTTTTAGGGTACTATTATTACCATTAGGGGACAAAAACCTTTGGACAGGGACAGAAGTATTCACAAAAGTTGGAAACATACATATATACAAGGTCTGACAATTAAGTAATGAGACAAAAATGCCATCTATGAAACTTTCTTCTATGATCTGGCAACTTTTCACCGATGCCCGATAAGCAGACAACAAACAAGCCGCCATTTTGTTGACCTAGTCAGAGGTGCATTGTTACGTGACCAGCATCGAGCAAAAAGCTAATATGAAATTCTGTTTAAAACACGCCATTGAGATAATTGAATCGATGTGACAAGTTTATGGGGATAATTGTTCATTTCATGCACAGATTTTCAGGTGGTATTCACGATTTCAAAGTGGTGTGGAAAAGATTGTTAATGCAACTAGACCTGGATGCCCAATTTCTGTTAAAAACACACACATGCGCACACACATACACACATCTAATTGTGTATGGTTGTTACGTAATTTAAATATATATTAGTGAATCTGCAATTTTCATTATTTGTTTTATTTCAGTGTTGTTGATTCCACAACATACCTGTACTTTTCCTTGTACAATCCACTGGTGTATGTTGTTTTCCTGTGGAACTTTTTTAAGTAAGTTATTGTGTTTGGTTTTGATGAACTTGTATTTTGTGTCCAATTTTTATTAACATTTATTGTTCTTGAATATTCCCTTTCTGATAACTGAGTAAACCAAGTTATTGTTTGTTTTCCAGCAGGTTTCATTGTCTTGCCTTTTGCTTTTAACGTATATCAAAGTTACTGTTAGTTGAGGAGAATAGAACCTACGAATTTGTAACTAGAATCTCTGCACTTAAATAATTGATAATTTGGCATGTGTTTGCAAGTAAGATTAGGGAGATGGCTTTTACAACCTAATTTCAAGGTAGAACAGACCAGAAGACCAGCAGTGCTTATTCCATGACTGCTAGCAGCATCACAATGGAAGTGAAGGTGGTGACACACTCTTTCATATCTCGCTAGAATCATAGGGCCATTCACACATCTGTATCCTGAATGATATTATGAGCATGGTCAGGCGAGACAAGACAGATTCAATATGCTGAGTGACTGAGTCACTGCAGAACTCAAGTCCACTTGAAGTCTTCTTTGTCTTAGGATATACAGGGAACAATCAGAAGAATTACCTTGGAGTAGCTGCTGCATCAAAGAGCTGAGCTTTATTACTAACTTCTCATTGGAACAATTAGTAGAAGTACCTTGGCGTGGCTGCTGCATCGGAGGACTGAGCACGCATGGGAGTGCCCACTTTGCTGTGACATCAATTGTGATAACATAACAGCATGCATTGCCTCCAAGACCTCATGTGTCTGATCAAACTGTTCGGAACAGATCTCATGACGTTGGACTTAAGGCATGAAGATTGCACAGAGAACCTGTCCTTACGCGTCACTATCACCAAAATCAACTTCTTTTGGGCCAACCGACATCATCCCTGGGCAGGTGACAATCAATCAAGATGTGTCTGGTTCAGTGATGAATCTTTCTTTTTGTTGCATCATGAGTTGAGTTGAGTTGATTCAAGAACTGACATAACAGCACTCGGGGCATTCCCATAAGTTCTCAGTCCCCATCTTTAGCAACCAGCGAAGAGTTCCGATACTAATGGTGCCAGTAGCATTCTGATTAAATGTCTGTCTTGCCTTTCTTCTGAGCCTTGAGCATCTGCAAGAACCTTTCGTCACTTCCCCCGCATCAATCTCGCCAGACTGTGATGATCCATCTGCTCCTCCATACTGTACACACATTAGCCACATCTGCCTTATCATAAATCAGTATTCTACCAAGTTGTGCAAAGCCAGCCAGCCTGTCTGGCCGTTCATTTCCCAATACACTGGTGTATCCGGTGAAAAAATACGATCCTGTTGTCTAGAGAACACCGAAAAACAGACTCCTTTTCCTGGTGGACATCAACCCTCATTTCTGTACACCACTCAGTCACTTTGTCTACTGTCGCTTGTAGCTCCCGGGCTGTTTGTTCCCTCTCTTCCCCCTGCCTATATGCAAGTATATCATCCGCAAAAGTCAGTATCCTTTCAACTCCTGGTGCTTCTAGTCTTGCAATCTTGCTCATATACACGTTAAAGAGCACAGGCGAGATGGCGGATCCCTGTGGCAGTCCTGGGGACAAAGTGCATGGTTCTGAGGTCCATGAGCCCAGTTGGAGAGCAACCCGACGTGAATACAGGACAGCTGCAACCCATTTCACCAGCCATGGACTGACCTCCTTCTCCTTCAGTGCAGTCATTAAGATCCAGTGCTACTGCTATAGTTTCCTGTCTGTTCTGGAACCCTTCATAGTCGTCAAAAGCAAAAGTGGCTGCATTTTCCTGGCCTGTAGTTTTCCAGACCTCTTGAGAGAAACTTTCCCCTTTTGAAAAATTCTTGCAGCTTTACAGCAACTATCTTCTCCAAGACCTTCCCAAATGTGTTTTGTAAGGTGAGGATTCTGAAGCCACTGAGTTTTGTATGATCCTTAAAAAGGTTTTAGCAGTGGGATTAGATAGCTGTACACCCAGTCCTACAGTACTGATGCTGTCTAAATGTTCTGGTTAAAGCAGTCAGTCATCTCTGCCAGGTCTATATCACTCAAAGCCCTTCATGTGGCCATACTGACCCCGTCAGGCCCTGTTGCAGTGTCTTTTGCCTTTTTCAAAATTTGTTTAATATCTTCTGCACATATTATGTCTTTATAATGCATATTCTTCAAGGTGCCAGCTAACTCTTCTCTAACTGCATCCCTGATGTTTACATCATTATGATCTGTCTGAGCTATAAACCTATGGAGAAAACCCTCCCCTTTCTCCTTGTCTGTTGTCATACGCACACCATCGTCTTTACAAATTGTTCCCACCGTCGCAGGCCAATCTTTTCTTTGCATCTGTCTTTGCAGTTTCCAGAATTTCCCCAATGTTTTATCGCCTCCCATATCATTAACAGAAGTTTCCCACTTTGCTCTTTTGGTCTCTGCAGCACAGCGCTTGAAAACCTCCACCTTATCTTTTTTTGTATTCTCCGCCATCTCTTCTTCCTCTCGTGAGCTTAAGGGTGTCTGTCATACTTTCTTTAGCTGCTTCACTGTGGCTCTCTTTGCCTTCCATACCTGTTCTATTTCTGGAGTCCACCATGGGGGCTGTGGAAAATTAGTTCTGGCAGTTCTGTTGCATGCTCCCTGTCTGAGGAATCCGAGTAGGTTGTTACCTTACTGGGTTTAGAAATCAGGACTGAACATGGTAGGTGATCACGCCCGTGATCATTCAGGACAGTCCATTCAACATCTAAAATCCATTTAACATCTAAAACTGATGACTGGGAGACAGATGTCAAGTCAATGGCTGTGTCTGCATCACCAGACCTCAGTGCCATTCTAGTTGGCCTCCCATCATTGATGCAGACCATATCGGAGTCAACCATGGCCTCTGCAAGGACAATTCCCTGTTGGTTTTCTCCACTGCTGTCCCATTCTCTGTTCCTCGCGTTGAAACACTCACAAATGAGTAACCTATCACCTGGTAACTCCTCCAGTTCATTGAGCCAGCCCCATTGTCATTATAGACTGTGTAGGGTCTGCCGTAGGCAAAATTAAGGTTTAGCCCAAAATTGTGTTGAAAAAGCTCTGCTACCCGGTGGTCGAGGTCTAATGGTGTGGTAATAATCAGTTACAGTTGAAGGAGTCAGTTGGAAGCTTGAATTAGCTGGAAGCTTTACGGAAGCTTGAATGTGCCACGATACATCAGTGAAATTCTTCAACCACACATCCTTCCATTTTGGGATGCCAGCAGATATCTTTTTCAACAAGACAATGTCAGGCCTCATTCTGCACGGTTGACCACGCAGTTCCCGGCTGCCAGTAACATTCAAAATCTTCCCTGGCCATCCCTGTCTGCAGACATGAGTCCGATTGAGCACTAGGGGGATTAGCTGCAAAGACATGTATGGTGCTGAGATGTTGCTGCAGCCAGTGGTCGTGATCTGTTCCAGGCACTGTAGGAAGAGTGGGCAGCCATTTCACAGGCCCACATCAGACATCTAATCGCATCCATGCCCAGGAGATATCAATGACTGATCCATGTAAGAGAAGGTCACACACCATACTAACGCCTAAAAATTATTATGACCCAGATGCAAATAAAACGTGTCAATTGATTGGTGGAATGCTTAAGGTATTCTTGAGTGAAATTTAAGTAATTTTACTTATTGCATTACAAAGATGCAGAATGTCAAAATTGTGGGTATGTGTGTTCTTTTCAGTAGCTATTTTTTTTTTGTGGGTACAGTATAGAACACTTTGTAACTGCGGAGAACACAATGTCTCAGAGGTACAAAATGCTGGCTCTTAATTATTGTTTTGAATATATCTGTCAGGCACAGAAAATTAACCATAAGTCTTCTTCTTCTTCGTCTTCACTGGCTGTAACTTTAGTGGAAAGTTTGGGCTTTTCTTCCATCGGACTTTGGTCTTGTTCCAGAACCTAAATGTTGCATGCACATCTGTTTTAAAAAATATGCAGTTGTTGGTTTCTTGCCTTACAGGCAGATGCACTCTGACTTCGAAAGAACCCTCCAGTTAGTCTATTCTTATGACATGCTTGTAGGAGAGGCAGTGGGTCTATTCCTGCTTCCCTACAATGGGGCCCTAGAACCCACACAGGGCCCCAGAACCCACACAGGGCCCCAGAACCCACACAGGGCCCCAGAACCCACACAGGGATTGGATTGCCATAAGTATTTTAAAAAGTGGATTAAACAAAAAAATGTTTGATGTTTCAAAACAATAATGCATTTTAAATTCATGTAAATAATGTTGCCTTTTCAGTATACATCCATGTTGCTAAAATCAAATATTATTATTGTTACACGACAGGGTTACCCAGACAGGGATACAGTTTTCTTACAAGCATCAAGAAAATGAAATTGATGATGAGCAAGTTAGTCTTCCATACAGCAATGGGGCCACCAAGCAGGAAGTTCAGTCTCCGATATATTCATTTGACAGTACCCACTTTGATGCGCAGGCTAGTCGCAGGAGCAGCAGCAGCAGCAGTTCTGTCACAAATTCAGTTCCCAATAACATTCCAACCCAAAGGCCAGGTTATTCAGTAAATAATGTTTTCAAAGACTATGAAACTGTTGATGCCTAAATTTCAAACAAGACCTTTTCTGTCTCTTTGAAATGGTGAAAGATTGCCTCCTTGCGTTAATTTCCATATTTACATTTTTTATTTTGGAAACAGACTCAGAGCACCTGCTTTAAAAAAAAATTAATTGCTGAATAAGAAAATAAAATTGTGATAAATGTATATAATATATATTCCTGACAAAAGTTCAGGAACACAGCTTTAAAGCTGTATTAAAAGGTAATATATACATCATAGAGAAATACATTTTAAATAATGATTATCAACATTAATTGTATCAAAGCTAGTTATTTAAACAGTGAATGATAATTTCTTTTCATATAATTCATATGGAAATCGACTAATACCAAAAAAAAAAAAAAAAGCACTTGACAATATCACTGTTGATTTCCACAGGTAAATTGTAATTGTGTTTTAGTGAAATGTTTGTGAATAGTGAAACCTTTATTACAACAAAACACTTACGGTTTGAAGAATTAGTTTGGAACATAATACGTTTCAGAGATTTGTTTCTTAACTTTTTAATGACGTATTTATGCATGTTTATGCATGCATGGGCTTATATATGCGGTCTAGGTAAGAATAAAATGCAACATTAATTATTGAGAATAATTTGGCATAACAAAAATTAGTATAGCAAGGATGTGTATGCTCACCCACCATATTGTTTTAGTTTATACTGGAAAAAATGTTTCAGCAAATTAGAGAAATGTCCGGGCTGAGAATATATGGAAAAGTAATAAACAACTTTAGAGTGACCATTTAGAGCTGGGCTATTCAACTAAGTTTAGTCAAGGGTCAAAATGTTGAAAATGGGGATCATCAAGGGCTAGAGGACCAGTCCATACCACAGAAAGATCATTAATACCATAAAATTGGCAATGATCTGCGGGCCACTTGCTAGGCTTTCGCAGGCCAGATTTGGCCTGTGGGCCGCCAGTTGAATAGCCCTGGTATAGAGCATAGGTTCCCAAACTTTTTTTTTTCACCGACCCCCTTTGAAAAAAAGAAGAAAATAATTCTTTATCAACCCCTCCCCTAACTAGCCCTGGGAAATATCGTAATCAAAATTAGATGCCATAATCATCATCATGTGCCTTGCTGATAGACATAGACTAAGGATTCACCATAGATCAGCTGTATCTTAGAGCACGCATACAGTCAGCTGTATCATGGAGTAGGCCAGTGCTCTTTTTCTGCCTCATGCATGTGACCTTGTCATGAAGGATTTAACTTTTATCTTTCATTCTCCCTCTTTCCATCAATTTCACAAGTTCTTGAGTGTGTTCCTTTCCAAAAAATCTACCTTCTGTAATCGAACAAAGGGCAAGTTTGCTTTTCCTTATTTTTGAGCAGATAGATAAAAGACAATCCCCCCCCCCCCCCCTTTCCATACCCCTTCATTCTTCATATGTCTTAGAACAGTTATAAAAGTGGAGCAATGAAAAGGTTCTCAGCTCAGCGCAAATACACTATTCTACATGTTCATGGCAGATCTTTCATGGGTGGGTCAAGTGCATGTTGTTGCATCTGAAAAACAAAAAACAAAAATATTTCCAAAATTGATGCAGTAGTACAGGTGAAACATCATAGCATACATTTGCTAGCAGAAGAATTCAGTTTGTCAGTTGAATAACTCAAAAGGTTCATAAGAATTACAATATTGGAAGGTATGTTAACGGTGGGTGCCACGGATATTGATTGATCATCGAAAGGGTTGATGTTTTAACCACATGCTGCATTACAAAGCAGAGGTAATGCACGTTTGTCCGTATGTTGCCAAGATTGTGCAGGAAGCTTTAGCATGGAAGAAGTGGGAAATTCTGCAAACAGCTTATAGTCATGATTAGTCACAGCATGGGATTACGTTCGGTCTGACCACTGAACAGAAGAAAAGCTCTCATGGGGCTACAATTTCACACACGTGCAGATGTAATGAACACAGTAAACACTTGGTTCACTGAGCAGGCACACAAATCTCTCTCTTTTTTCTTTCTTGCGAATAGAAGCGCCGCCTGCCTAAGCCTGAGGATGCTTGCGACATTTTCTGACCACCTCATGGTGGATAATTCATTCAAAACTAATGCTTTATTGAATTCTGCCACACCTGTTGGTGTTTCTTTCACACTTTTGTAATAAAGCCATTGGAATGGGTTTCAAATAAACATTCTTTATACTCGCATGCTGTTATTTTATTCTGTCTGTAGTATTTATCTTCTCTCATGTTCCACTTCATTTATGAGTGTCTGTGATGATTTGAATCTCTGAGATGAGTGTGTTGGGGGGTGGGGGAGGGGGAGTGGAGTGCGCCATTACAATTTAATTGCTTTTTCATTTCCACTGACACAACAGTGGGCTGGATCCAGTTTCTGTTATTGTGGACAGCATTATAAGATTATTGTTATTTTTTAATATTATTATTTCATAGATGATGCTGTTCTGTTTGAAGCATAAAATGATTTGGATGGCTTATGTCGAGTGTGAATATGGCAGTTTGATTATTCAGTTTCGATTGGCTAAGATCTGCACAATTTAAAAAAGGGTTGGCCACTCGCCTCTATTGCTGTGAAGTGTGTCTCTGTGTTACCATTAGGATGTGTAATGTAGTTTCCATCCCCATCCCATTTGAGGACGTCTTTGGCAAAACTGTCTGTAAAGGCCATTTAACTGTTGATCAATGAGGATGAAGAATATGCCAATAGTCTCGCAGCTCTGCAATTCTTGGAGACTACAAGGTAATAAAAGGGAGACGACTTATATATATATATATATATATATATATATATATATATATATATATATATATATATATATATATATATATATATATATACATATATAAAATCCTTCGTGTGCTGTTAGATGTCAATAGGGCTTGTATTTGATTCCTTCACTCCACTTATTTGATGCAATTTTCTTGATTTCTTTCAGGGATTTCAGCCCCAGTATCTTTTGCCACTGGTAATAATGTTCTTTTTAATGTTTCCCTTCAATGTCCTCTTTTTCTCAGACTGTTTCCCATTTCATTGTCTGTTTTGTAATTCTTTTGCAAATCTTGCCTCAGAGTGTGCCCAGTATATCTCCACCTTCTTTATCTTATTGTAGTCGATACAGGTATTTGACCAGACATTTTGAATTTTTTCCCATTTGTGTTCATGATTTATTTTTCTCAGACATTTTTTCTCACATGCATTTCACTTTTGTTCCTTATCTTTGGTGGTTCTCCAGCTTTCGCTGGCATATGTTAGAATCGAAATAACATCAGAATTGAAGATTTGTAGTTTGGTCTTAAAGCTCTATAACTTGGAGCTCCATATTTTGTTAAGGTTTTTTAAAAAAGTTGTTGCTTTGCCAGTGCTTATCTTAATTTCCTTCCTAGAGAGTCAGAATTGCTACCCAGATAGGTGAAATAAACTGTTACTTTTATTGGTTTGTTCTCTAGCATGACATCTACATGATCTGTTGTTGCTATCTTTATTATATGTTTTTTGATAACTTATTTGTAGTCCAATGTTTGATGCTGTTGGTGACAAATCCTCTGTTTTTTTTTTGTTTTTTTTTGCATATCTTTGTTATTTTTAGTTAAAAAAACAACATCATCTGCAAAATCCAGATTTTCCAGTTGTCTATTTTCTACCCAATCAATGCCAGTATTGCATTTGCAAACTTATTTAGTTACCCAAATAACAAGGAAGAAAGAGTGCAGCCTTGTTTTACTCCAGTTTCCAGCAAAAACCAGTCACTTAGACCATTCTCATTGTGCACCGCATTTTAAACCATTGTATAAATGTCAAGTAATGCATATTATTTTAGCTGGTATGTTGTAGCATTCCAAAATTCCCTGTAGTAAAATTCTATGTAAGCTGTCAAAGGCCTTCTTGAAATTAATAACATAAATAAGGATATATTTAACATACACTTTTTTTTTTTAAATTTAAAAAAAAAAATTTTCTGATGGTGCATTTCTATTAGTTGAAGTGAAAGCCCATGCACGTAAAAACTATTGATGACCAAAATGAAAAAATGAAGACAAAAAAATGTCAGTTGATTGGATGTATAATCTTAACAATTTCACTCATTAAATTAAAACATTGTGAATGCCAAAATATTTTTTTTTAATTATGTTATTTCAGTACCTGTATTTTTTATTTTTAAAAGTTTTTATGTCTGAGTATAAAAAAAATAAAACCAAATATTATTTGTCCGGTTTATTTGTGGTCCTATGCTTGTTCCTTGAACAGTCGTAGTAATAAAATGTTTGGACAGCCAAGGTGATCTTGATCCAAAAGCAAACTATTTGAAAATTGAGTTGTGTTTAAAGATTTCATTAAGTTTTTAAAATACTGATAATTTATGATTTGTTCCTAACGGTATTGTAGTCAGTTACAGAAAGTCTGTCTATCCGCATTTGGAAAGTCTGTATATCCACCACATGGATGAGGCTGCAGATAGTCATGACAAAGAACCCTGTTTCTGTGCCAAAGTGTTGTCAGTGCTGGTGGATTTGTTTAGTCTTTGCGTAACACTTTCAGCTTCATCATTGTCCAGATGCTTTTGTACTTTTGATGATGGGCCACTATCAGACTAACTGCTCAATCTCGTTTAGAATTGTCTGCTAACCATTTTATGAGACTGTAGCCACTGATCATGTAAAAATATGATGGAACATAAAACTTCCAGGTCCTGCCACAACACTACTACTACTATGTTGAGCAGTTCTGTTAAAAATATACAAAAGTCCCAATTTGTTAGCCTTTTGGATTATAATGCAGCATATAATATTACCCCTCCAGATGGTTTTTTGTTTGTTTGCTTATCCTTTCCATTGGTAGAACTGCGCAGTGATTGATATGACAGCTTGTCTCTTATTTTACACAGAGATATACATTTTCTTGTTACATTTTTATGAATCCTATTGTCTTTTTTGTTTTTATGCATTTATGATTTATTTGTTAGGTGGCATAATTATGTCATCTGTACAGAAATGTGTTTTTATGTCTCTG